GAATAGAATGTGGCATGGCTTCCGGGCCATGGTAGCCAAATCGGCATCCTCAGTTCGAACTTACATCAAGGCCACAGTCGACCTCTGGGCAAGCATCAAAGTACAGAGCATTTTCGTCATCGGAAAGATGTAAGAGTTACAGGCATGTCTGCCCGTAGCTTGTAAGTCAATTGAGGTGAGTTGACCGCGTTGGCTGTGGCGGCGGGTGCAACGCACGGAAAAGGGGAATCTGAATACTCGTCTCTCAGCACATTGGATGTCTCAGCCAGCTGTTGACTGATATCAAGACACTTTTTCACAACATACTATTCATATATACGTCATCGAACAGCTCTTCCCTTCTCATTATCGTGGAATAGGTATGAGAGCGGTAGCTACCCCATTTTCCCCAAGCCAAGCTCTCCCCCTCGAGGGCATGGGACTTCGGCAATCACCATCTTCTCCTCATGCGGGGTGCCGGGCCGGTTTACTCGGAGCCGGCCCAATCGCGAGATCTGGCCATGTGGGTATTGTGCCTAGATCTGCCGCTGTATCATTCCTGCTTCGTGGAAAAATTGTATATGCATAGAATAGCATGAGGGCATAGGAGTGAGATGCATGTGTACCTCGATCGATCATGGCACCAAGAATTGGAGATGAGCCATCGTCTCTGCATATAAGCTCGGCGAGCAGTCTCGGTGAGGATGGCAGTGTAACGTGCTCATTGCTTTCGCACATCGAACACGTTAAACCATAATGCTTGCTCATTTTATACTGGAAAATGCCGTTCAGCTCCTTGGCCTGGGTTGCCTGGTGCTGAATCACTCGACAAGGACCGCCGCATACGCAGTCAAAGGCCGTCAATCGGAGACATCAACAAGCGGTCGCCAAGTAATTAGACTCAACGCAGATTGGCGGTTCTGGCACTCATTTGAAAATCCTGATGGTGTCAGCTACGACCAGCTCAAGGCGTACGTATTGCCGTCAGGGAACGACTTCATCGCAGACCCTAGTAATCGCCATCAGCGACCTTCGTCCGAGCCGAATATCACAGTTCAATACGCAGAGCAAAGCTTCGACGACAGTAATTGGGAGACTGTCAATGTACCCCATGATTGGGCTATTAAAGGGCCATTCTACATCGGAGACGATGTCCTCGTCGGCGGCTCGATGGGGCGGCTGCCAGTCCAAGGGGTTGGCTGGTATAGGCGTAAAATTAGCGTTGAACCGGACGATGCCGACAAGCACATATATCTGGATATTGACGGAGCCATGTCGTATGCTATTGTCTGGCTTAATGGGAAACTATTAGGCGGCTGGCCGTATGGCTATAACTCGTTTCGCCTCGACTTGACTCCTCACCTCGTTGTCGGAAATGACAATCAGTTAGCAATTAGGCTTGATAATCCCACGCAGTCTTCTCGTTGGTATCCTGGAGGGGGTATATATCGCAATGTCTGGCTCACCAAGGTTGATAAGACGCATGTTGGCCAATCGGGAACGTATATAACTAGCGAAGAAGTGTCTTCCTCGTCAGCAACCCTCAACTTGGTGGTTTCGGTAGAGAATAAAGCAACCACGAGGAGCGATGTTCATATCTCTACCGATGTGTTCGCTTTCAATTCAGAAACCAGAGAAGCCGGTGCTAAAGTTGTGTCCTTTCCTCGAGCAGTTGTGAGTGTATCACCGGGTCAGAGCGTGGACTCCAAAAGCTCGACTATCGTTCGAAACCCTCAGTTATGGGGAGTCTGGCCAACTCAGAAGTCCAACATGTATATCGCTGTCACAAAGCTCTATACTGGAAATAGTGATAAAGCCATCGATATCTACGAAACGAAGTTTGGCATCCGCACCTTTGTCCTGGACCCAAACAAAGGCTTGCTAGTCAATGGAGAGCATGTCCGGATTCAGGGCGTCAATCAACATCACGACCTAGGAGCCCTCGGAGCCGCCTTCAACATCCGCGCCGCAGAAAGGCAGCTGGATATTTTGCGCGACCTAGGCGTTAACGCCATCCGGACTTCTCACAATCCCCCCGCGCCCGAATTACTCGATCTGCTAGACCAGAAGGGCTTCCTAGTTCTAGACGAAATTTTCGATTGCTGGGAGATCCAGAAGAACCCCAATGACTTCCATCTCATCTTTCCCGACTGGCATGAGCCCGACTTGCGGACATTCATTCGTCGAGATCGCAATCATCCGTCTATCTACCTATGGAGCGTCGGAAACGAGGTCGGCGAGCAGCAAACGGGCGCTGACGGCGCCGCTGTAGCGCAGGAGCTCGTTGACATCGCGCATGAAATGGATCCGACGAGACTAGTCACCGCCTCGATGAACTCGGCGAAACCTAACCAGACATTCCCTACGGTCTTCGATGTCATCAGCTTAAACTATCAGGGCGAAGGAATCCGCGATACACCCGCGTACTCTAGTCTAGCAGGCATCTCGACGCCTCCTCTCTACGAAGCCTTCCACGCGGCGTTCCCCGAAAAACTGATCGAGAGCAGTGAAACAGCTTCAGCGCTAAGTACGCGTGGGACATACATATTCCCCGTCACCAGCGTGGACAGCGCTCCCGTCAATGACACGTCCGGCGGCAACTCGACTACCCTGCAAGTCAGCGCGTATGAGCTATACTCCGCAGACTTCGGGGCATCGGCCGATAAAGTATTTTCTCATCAGGACCCGTACCCCTTTGTCGCCGGCGAGTACGTGTGGTCGGGATTCGACTATCTCGGCGAGCCGACGCCCTACGATGCACGGAGTTCGTACTCGGGGATTGTCGATCTCGCTGGCTTCCCTAAAGAGCGATATTATATATATCAGGCTCGCTGGCGACCCGACCTTCAGACAGCGTACATTCTCCCGCACTGGACCTGGCCGGAGCGACCCGGAAAAGTAACGCCGGTTCATGTCTTCTCATCCGCGGATGAGGCGGAATTATTCCTGAATGGAAAATCGCAAGGCCGTCTAGTGAGAGCAGAGTACTCGTATCGGTTTCGCTGGGACAAGGTTGTCTACTCGCCGGGAGAGCTCCATGTCGTCACCTACAAAAACGGCAAGGTCTGGGCGACGGCCACGGTTCAAACCGCCGGAGATGCTGTAGGGTTGCGCCTGGCGGCAGATCGGCCCTCGATACGTGGAGATGGAGAAGATCTGGCCTACATCACAGTCGAGGTTATTGATAGCAAGGGTCGCATTGTACCTCGAGCGACTAATGATATCGCATTTAATGTATCTGGGGCAGGCGAGCTCGTAGCAACTGATAATGGCGATCCAGCGGACTATACAGCATTTCCTTCCGAGCAGAGGAAGGCATATAGCGGTCTAGCACTTGCGATTGTGCGATCTAGGAGCAGCAGCCAAGGAGCCATTACAGTCACAGCTTCTGGGAGCAATCTAGAAACAGCAAAGGTAATTATCAAAACTCTATAATATTGATTTTCTTGACTGTACATATATATGCATGCACATTTCCACACGAGAACAGAAGGGAGGGAGGAAGAATTAAAAAAAAAAAAAAAAGCCGTGAAAAAGCAGCAAAAATCTTCTGCCATTCGCACCTTGAAATCATGCCAACACACACTCGAAGTGGGACCTGATCCCCGATGTTGCCAACGGAGAGAGCAGACGACAGCCAGTTTGGTGAAGACAGTGGACCAATGAGGTCCGGCGCAGTGCGGACTCGAACCCCTATGTTGCTGGTTTCAGCGATTAGGAAAATTCCTGAATACTGAACCGTTGACCCACTAGGTCAACTGTTGGAAACTCGGTTGCCTAAACTGTATAATATAGTAAAGGTACTTTTTCTTTGTCTGTCGGCGCGTTTTCGGGTGTTGTCGTGGAGATCGCGGGGTACGCGTCAAGCTTCGCGACGGAGGTGTCCCCCAGCAACCAGTATTCAGAGACGCGTCCAGACGCGTGAGGCACATATCCCCGGTAGCTAGCAAACCGTTATTCAGATAAGTAGCTTCCCTGCTGTTCTGCGTTTCTGCAGGGTGGTCTGCGCACTTGTCAACGCGTTGATCCAGAGGGCGCACTGCAAGGCGCATCCATGACTAGGGCTTAACGAAGCGAGTCTGGTATAGGCAAATGACTTGGAATGACAGACTTCATCTATAGTTGATCGATCTCGAATGGGGGTTGAATAACGTGCATCAGCCGCTCCCGCTATGGACGTCGACAGAGGTTCGCGTGAGCTGTGCCCACAAGCCAGCAGGCCGACCCAGACATATTTCACACCTAGATAGGGTTGCACTCAAGAACAGTTGCTCAACGGTGGCTTGGGACTGCTGGACCATGCTGTTGCGCCAGGTAATGGCGACAGCACCTGCCAGGTCCTCAATGAAGTGTTGCAGATCTTCACTTGAGCTCGCAAGCTGTGAGACAGCTCCTCGCAATCTGTCATCTTTGGTACAGCATCCCTCGTAAGGGTGTATCTCGGCGCAGAGATATTCAGTGTCTGGACATAGCATCTGACCACAGGTCGCGTCTCGTCAGACCCTGTTGAAGGAGCTTCACACAGCCTCAGCACAGGATAGTTGAGCTAAATCCAATTGCGCAGAGCCCAGATCACGGAAATAATGGACGATATCACTGCGAGATGTTAGTAAAAATTTGCGAGGAAAATTACAGAGTGTATGGGCATAATTTGCGCAGAAGAGTGACGACGATGAGACCAAGTGGCAACGTCAAAAATTCAACAACAAAGAGAGAGGACGTCTGAGGGGTAAGGGATGCCAAAGCCGCTAAGGGGACTCAGGTGTCACGTGATCCATGGACATGTAGGTGGCTGTGCCTGCAAGCAGATAACTCGCTGTTTGTTTGCAAACATGGAATAACCTATGAACTAAGAAATTGATAGGTTTGATAATCAAGAAATAATAATTGATAAAAAAGGAAAAAAGGAAAAAAGGAAAAGACTTGGTTGCTATTCCTAGTGAATTAGGAGGCATAGGGAATTGAGCCCGATGCGGGGGTCGACTGATCACTCGTTAGTTGCATATTCGTGTTTAAGTGCATATCAGATACTTGAACTTACACCCGCAACCTTGAGATTAAGAGTCTCACGCTCTACCGATTGAGCTAACCGGGCAGCAGCCGTGTCTTTCTGGTTGAATTAACACTGTACCTACTAGTTTTTATATAAGCCATCTTCAATCTCTTTGTAAATGAGTAACCAATTCTTCCAAATAACAAGTCAACAGTCAATAAATTAATCACCCACTGAGAGCTATCAGAAAACCCACTTGCTCAGTAGCGTACGGATAAATCGCATGTTGCGCACTCCAAACGTTGATTGAAGGGGGATAGTATACCGTGACTTTTGTCCCAAAGAGATCAATATCTCATTTATTGTCATCACAAATATGTACGAAGCCCTCGTGCAGTGTAAATTGATGGAAGTAACAATTGTATAAAACTGTCTAGAGATATTCTCCTCTCTGGGAATATCGAAATGTCTATAGTACCATGAACGCCTCCGCCATCTAACACCACATAGCTAGATACCCCTATATCATACACAACTCATACACCTCATTTCCAACTCATCGACCTCCCTCATCCATCCACCTCACCATTCCTTCACAAAATGCCTACTGAACCCAAACAGTAGTCTGCGCAACCTCATCCCGTCCAGCCCGAATCCGATTAACCCCAGCCATCCCATCCTCAAAGCCAACAGCAACCCCACAAAGCACCACAAGATCCTCAGGAATCCCAACCTCCTTCTTCACAACATCAGAGTAACCTGCCACACTAATCTCAACACAACTCCCCACGCCAGCCTCCGTAAGCGCAAGCAAGAAAGTCTGCAAATACATCCCCACACTAAACGCCTCCACACCCTCCAGCTCAGCACTCATGCAAACAATAACAGCAGCCGGAGCCCCGAAGAAATCGTAGTTGCGCAGCACCGCGGCGCGGCGCGCTTCATGATCGTCGTGCGGGATGCCCCAGCCTACACCAAAGACCTGGCGGCCGAGCGCTGAGCGGTATTCATCGAAGGATGCTGGGAGAGGCGGGAGGTTTGGTTCTGTTGTGGTTGCGGCGGCTACCAGGCTGGTCTTTAGACGCGATAAAGCGGATCCTGTCACCACGAAGAGACGCCAGGCTTGCGTGTTCGTGTTGCTTGGTGCGTGGGCTGCTAGAGTGAGGGCGTGCGTGAGGATTTCTTGCGGGACGGGCTGTGGGAGGTATAGGCGGGATGAGTGCCGGGTGAGTATGGCTTCTGAGAGGAGCATTTGCGCTGAGCTGCTTCTGGTTTTGGCTGGGGGTGTTGTTGTGAGCTGCTCTTCTTCCTGAAGAGCGATTGCTGAGTCTGTGCGTTTTGGGGTTGGTTGTTGGTGCTCAGACATTTTGATTTTTTTTAATATTTCGGGTCAGGTAGGTGTAGATATGGCTGCGGGTATGTGTCTTGCTTCTAATGATGGTATACTAGCAGTCTAGAATATGACTTTTGCGCGATAATCAATGATTCTGCGAATGCGTGTGTATGAGCCAATGTAGTTGATTGTTCAAAAGAGAATAGTGTCTATAGGTATCGAGTTGTAAACTCTCTTCGTATTGATGGTGTTTCTTGTCTTGTCTATCTTCTCAACAAAGCATTATCCTATTCACTAAGATACTCGCTCGGTTATATACACCGACAGAAGACACATCTCATCACCACACCCAGCTTCTTTCCAGGCATCGCCGGGAGATTACCGGTGTCCCAAGCAGATTACCGTTATACCCGAATCAGTCCCGACAATCGCGACGTCCGAGTCCCCGCGAGTCCAAGAGGGTATGCTCGGACACCACGGCATCGCGATAAAGACAGTCCGTGAAATACTTATGTAATCTGCACCCATCTAAGCAGGGAAGAAACTATTTCCGGGGACTCGCTCCCTTAGAAAACCTCACGAATCACGCGGGCAGCAGATACAAACGTGGCACGCAAACACTGTGTGTGCGCCCACACTCACTCACGACGCAAGAAGCGAACAAATTGCATTCCGAAGTAAGCAGCGTTGCCAAGAATATTGGCAAATCGAGCTTCTCCGCAGGTAGGTCTGAAACAGTGAGTGCATTCATGTTTGCTGCTGGGGCGGTTTTTTTCTCCGCGGTGACTCGCTTCGGTAATCCGGGTATCCATCTGACTTGGCTTTGGGGTCCCTTGACCATGGGACCGTGGGTTGCATGCCAGTGCCACGGTAGCAGCGGGTCCATCAAGGCGGAATTGCTGGGAATTCGGATATTCAAATGACCCCAAATGCATCACGACTACAATAGAGTGTAAGTGTGTATTTCAGTCGCATTCGGGACGGGCAGGCCGATGGGGGCCAGGTCGAAAAAACTATGGCATGATGTATGCGTAGACGGGCCAGGTCACATTGCGATGGAGGTAGACAGAGGAGCATTTTTGATAATTCGATAGAATTATGTCAAGATTCTGTTGATTGATTGATATCGGATCCCACATACAGCCCATTTCACTATTGCTAGTGTGCATTTCCTTTCTTTACCCATCCTCATCAGTCATAATAACCAAAAACCCTATCCTGAACCCCGGAACCTCGAACCTGAAACCCCAGGAAGAAGAAGAAACCATTAACTAGATAGATAGATGATGAGGTATCTATGTACAACGCCTAGATACTATTGCAAGCCAACCCAGGAGCCAGCCTAGGTTGCGCAAAGATGGGGGACCAGAAAGTTTAGCACCCGCCGTATCGCACACCCCTCTTACCTAATTCCTTCCTGCCAACGGGGTCCTCGGGTAATACCCAACCCCTGGCGCGCTTGGCCTCTCGCTTCTCAGCAAGTTGTGGCTGCGGCATCCAATCATCACGGGCGAGTGCCTTGCGACGGGTTCCCTCGGCAGGGGCACCGATCTCAGCTTTCCACGGCGCATGTCCGGCTGCTGGCTCGTCGCCGGCCAACATGCATAGACCCCAAAGCGCGAGGCACGCCGTGAGTGGGGTGCTTTCCTCTTCGCCGTCGTCTTCGGCCCCCGCGGCGGCGAGCTGGACGCTGGTCACCTCGAGGTAGCCGAAGTGGGGCGTTCCTTCAGCTCCATTACGGACCAAGACAAGTTCAATCTCAGTGAGGATGAAGCCGTAGCGTGTGCCGTGCTCGCGCATGACATGGTGTAAGTGTGACAGTCCGCGCAAGTACTCGACGCGCTTGATATTGCCTTCAACGCGCATGCCAGTGTTGAAGCGGTCAAAGGACTTGACGAGTCCTACGACACGGGCAGTGGGCTTTCCACCGAATATGGCGGCTGCTGTTGACGACTCACCAGCAATGTTGGCAACGATAAGGTGGTCATTGGGAGATGAAGTGTGCTTTGTGCTGGGAACTGAGAATTGAAGAGCTCGCTGGCTGGATATTGCCAGAGCTGAGTTAAGCTTGGGAATGTAGTACGATGCGTAGATGTTGTGTAATGCGGCCTCCGTTTCAGGATGGCGCGCATTGGTAGACGGCTGGGGTAGGAGAGGGCCCGGAACGGGGCAGTTGAGGAGGGCAGAAGCACCGGGCAGAGATAAGATGGTACTAAGATTGAAAGCAGACCATTGCCGGATCTGCCGGACATCCCACCAGAAGTGCTTGGTGTTGGGGTCCCGAAGTGGGAATGAGATGGACCGTACCAATGAAGGAGCCGGGTTGGACGTGGTCAGGTAGTTCATGAGGGTGGTGGATGGCGTGGGGTCTGGAGTTGACCCTAAACTCAGAGGAGAGGGGGCTCTTGGTGCAAATGCATACATGTACTGCTCTGGCTGAGGTGGTGACTGCGAGACAGCCGGTACATATGAGGGCATTGGACGGTAGGTGGGGAAGCTGAATTTGTCAAACCCAAAAGTGTCGGGCCCAGCGCTTTGTGCGCGTTGAGGTACCATGGCATCCTGTGCATAATGGATGGGGGAGCCGAGCAATGAAGAGGGGAATGTGACCTGGTCCTCAACTGAAGGGAAGAAAGAGTGGCTGAAGCTCAGCGACTCCGGGTTCGTGAAGCTCCGGGAGTGCGTTGGCCGAAGGCTCCCTTTACGTTGAGGCTTAGACACACCTGCAGTAGGCGGCGACCTTCTTACACGCTTGGCGGGTGATTCGATAGTCTGGTCTTGAGAGCGAATCCTGGGAAGTAAGATAGGGCCATGCTGGCGAATTGGTGGTGGTGAGCGCGCAGGGGTAGTGACGCGTGTGCTGACCGAGTCGGAGGGCGACGTCTCGGCGGTTGAACATATTGAACTGTACGAGCTTGTGCGAGCATGCCCGGGATTGTAGGGAATCTCGAGCAGAGATGGATCAAAAGAGAAGCTCGGCGGGGTGACCGGCTCGCAGGAAGGAAAAGCGAAGTCGACAAAAGAAGACATGTCCGCTGCCAGACTATTCACGCTTACATGTCAGCACATTGTCCTCGTCATTATCATTATCATCACATCTCATTCAAGATGAGTAAAGTGAGACTGGGAAGTTTACGTACGTAGCCATGTCTGATGTGAATAAGTGCTGTCTTGTCAACCAGGACAAGAACGAGCTGAATATTGGATTACTGGAAGAGACTGAATGGGGAGAACCGGCTCCACCACGACGACAAAACTGTCCTAACGCCGAGAGATATGTATAAAAACGGTCGACGGATGGGTGAGATGGCTCAGTAGCAACGAGAGAGGGAGCCAAGATAAGTTGAATGGGTTGATAGCGTCGAGTGAGATGGAGTATGGGTCTATTGAGACAAGCTAGGAAAGCAAGACAAGGAAAAAGGAAACAATTGTATTGGTCTACAGGTGAAACTGAAGAACAGGACTGATGAGGAAAGAAGAGAGCAACGACGGGCGGAGGGCGGCAGTCTTCTTATCCTCGGCGCGGATGGGATAGTCGGACAGGTCACGATGGGCCGCATGTAAATTCAGCTAGCAAAACGCACGCTGCGAAAACTGCGCGGCGATGATGTAGCCCAATGCAGGAAGCAGCAACCTGAAACATGGGGTATCGAAGGCGAAATCGACGGGCTAGTAAGGGAAGGGCTATGGGAATGAAAACATTTCTGCCATGTCTGTACGAGTCGGCCTAGTGTCGCCCTTGGGCGAGGTATTGGGCCGACAAGACATG